TGATGTGTCAACACAGCTTAACCATTTTTTCCAGATCCAATATTATTTGAATCTAATGTATTCTTATTAGTAGAATCACGGTGTTTCATAGGCTTTGGACATACTCTGCAATAGGACTGATTCACAACTGGGTCAATTACTAGCTGTGTCACCTTGGAAAAAGTTTCCAGAAATGGGGAAAACTACAGGACAGAAAGAGCATCAAGAGAACATTTATGATTTCTAAATTCCTTTCGATTTGAAAGTTTGCTGACATTTCTTTGCTCTGCTTGTTCATTGACTTTCTTGGTCCCAACTCTCCTGCAAGTACACCCATGTGCCCCAGAAAGTTCTCTGTTAGCTAATGATTATTCAAACTAAATTCATTCTCCTATATTTACAGCTGTGATCTCTGTGCCCTAAGTAAACTGGGAGTTCTGTCCCAATCTTTCTATTCTTTGCACCCTGATCTTGCTTTATTAAAAGAGTTCCTCTCACAGTACCAGAAAAACAGACACTGCCTCTAAAGTTGAGAAGACTGGGACAACCTCGCCAAGCTTGATAGGTGACTTTTGGGATGGCTTCTGATTATTTGTGGTTTGAAGGCATTCCTTTCCCCCACACGGGATACAGAATTGAAGATATTAGATCTATCAGAGATGAATTTGTGGTGAGGGATGAAGATGTTATTACACTTTCTTACTCAAAGTCAGGTAAGGAGGCTGTTTCTGAAATTTGGGAAGTATTTGGAATGAAGGGCACCCTGGTGGCACAGTGATTAAGTGTTTGGCTGCTAACCAAAAGGCTGGAAGTTTGAATCCACGACCTGCTCCTTGGAAACCCTATAGGGTAGTCCTACTCTTTTCTATAGGGTAGCTATGAGTCACAATCAAATCTAGGGCACTGGGTTTGGGTTTTTTTGTTTGTTTGTTTTGGTGGAATGAGCTTATCAATTGAGTGACTTCCTGTGCCTTACATTTGCCTACATTTTGGCAACTAGAGTGGAGTCCTACTGGATTTTATCGTCTGAGAGAGGGATTAAGACAGGCAACTATCACTTAAAGGGATGTGCCCACTGAGGCATTGTAGAGATTAAGAGGGTCTAAGAGGAGAGAATACTAGTGTAGATTTTGGTGATCATGTGGGGGCTGGTAATGACAGATTACTGAAGAAGTAGTGGAAAGAAAGAAGCATCTATTCTGGATGCTAAAAATCAATGAGAGTGTTAGGTGAAGAGGGAACAGAGCAGGGTTGGTTACATGCATAAAGGTCTAGAGTTGAAAAATACTGAGGCATTTTCAAAGACATGAGAAAACATGGATGACTGTTGTGTGGAGTAGCAGGAAGTGAAGTGGGATATGTTTAAATGTTAAATTCATGTGGAACCTGTAAATCATGCTAAGCAATCAGGAAATTATTCCAAAGGCAATGGAAACTTACTGAAAGGATTGAAATGGGGAAGTGACAGGAGCGTATTCTTAAAGATCACTAGTAGGCTCTCTAAGGAGCCCTGGTAGTGCAACAGTTAAGTGCCTAGCTGCTAACTGAAAGGTCAGTAGTATGAACCTGCAAGTGCTACAAGGGAGAAAAGACCTGATGATCTGCACCTGTGAAGATTACAGCCTAGGAAACCCTATTAGAGTTCTAATCTGCCATACAGTGTTGCTATGGGTCAAAATTAACCTGATGGCCCACAAAAACAATACGACCTTTCTGGAGGCAATGGTAGTTTAGTGTAGAATTTTTGCCTTCCATATGGGAGACCTGGGTTCTATTCTTGGAAAATGCACCGTATATGCAGACACCACATGTCTTTCAGTGGAGGCTGTGTGTTGCTGTGATGCCAAAGAGGTTTCAGTGGAGCTTCCTGAGTAAGACAGACTAGGAAGAAAGGCCTCGTGATATACTTCTAAAGATCAGCCAGTGAAAACCCTATGAATCACAATGATCCATTCCACAACTGACTTTGGGGATGGAATTTCCTTCCATTCTGCATGAGACCCTCAAGAGTAACAGGCTAACTCAAGAGCAGCTAACAACAACAAAGTGCCATAGAAAACTATAAAACTAATCAATATATGTCAGGCAATAACTTTCAGGAGGGAGTTCAAAAGCAGTCATACAAGACAAATATTCATGAGCAACAGCAACCAGGAAAAGAATGTTTATGAGTCCAAGTTCCTTTCCTGCTCTCTTTCTAGGTATCTCTGGAGTGGGTGTGGATACACTGACATGGAAGATGGTATAGTTTGTATGACTGATGGGATTTTGACTGTTCATGGAAGTATTCTGCCTTGATTATTCTCTCTCCACATTGCCTGCTGGAACCCAAGAGAGCCAAGGTGGATGTCTGGGGTTGGGTGAATGGTTAGGGGTCAGATGTTGACTATTGAACGAGAAAGGTGGAAGGAGATTGAGCAGTAGAAACTAGAGTAGCAGAAAGTCAAAAGAACTTCCTACTCACAGAAATCAAAAGAACAGGGTGTTTCAAGAATGAAGAATTACTTATATGCTACCAAGGAAAGAAGTAATAGGAAGAATGAAAAGCTCAATGGGATTTACAGTCATAGACATCATGGTGAAATAGCAACATGCCTTTAAGATGGAGTGGTATGGTCAAAATCCAGATCAAAGGAAGTGATGCGCTATTTTCCTCCCTTGTCCAGGAACCAATTGGGTGATTGAGATCGTCAGTACAATCCACACCAATGGAGATCCCAGCTGGGTCCAATCTGTTGCCAAATGGTTTCATTCACAGTGGATAGAAACATCAGCTGGGTATGAATGTGTAAAGAATATGAAAGAACCACGATTCTACACCTCACACCTACCCAGTCAATTATTTCCCAAGTCGTTCTTCAACTCCAAGGCCAAAGTGAGCTACTGATGGCAACGACACAACTGATCACTTCTCTGGCTCACTGATTTCCAGTGTTTTTGGAAAAGAGTTAAAACATGATTCATTTGAGTGAGCATATTAGAAAACATTGGCCCAAGCTACATTATAAAGTACTACATAATCTCCTTGGAGTTGTTCCAGAAAATAGTCTTCATTAGTTAAATAAATCTCTGCCTCACTCCATTCTGAAACACCTTACATTGAGTGCCCTGTGGGAGAAGCATGTGAATTATACATTAACACCTACAATTCAGAGGAATTTTAGGTTTGGCACTCACGTTAGAACCCACTTTAGTGTCTCTAATCTATGTGTAGCATGGCTTTCCCAGTCAACAACTCCACCTGGCTCTGATGAGTAATTTCAGGAGTTCTAAATTAAAGTCTAATATTGAGCGTCCCCAGGGATAAAAGTGTGAATTTTCACTCTTCTTAGATTATACTTTAAATCAAATGACACCAAACACATTGTCCAAACTGCATAAAAACGCCTCAAATCATCAAATGTGATGTGGTAGTAGAAGCATTATCAAAATATCCTAGTATTACAATATGTTATATTGTATGAGGGTAGTGATATATTTCTGCTCGTCTCCTTGTTTACTATCTGGTTCATTTATTGGACTATGATCTCCATGGTTATGGAGACTATGTTTAATTTGGTACTATTTTACCATTTAACACCAACATGACATAAGGAATTCTTGGTGCATAATAGAGACTTAAAAGATAGTGATCAATAAAATTTAAGTGATAAACAAAAGATAGCCAAAGATCAAATTAAAAAAACCAAACTTCTTGTCACTGAGTTGATTCTGACTCATGATGATCTAGTGTGTTACAGGGTAGAACTACTCTATGTAGTCTTCTTCATCGTAATCTTTACAGAATCAGATTGCCAGACCTTTCTTCTGTGTCACTGCTGGGTGGATTCAAACCATCAACCTTTAAGTTAGTCACAGAAATGTGGCTTTTTCCTGAATATATGAAAAAAAAATTTTTTTAAACTCCTCAAAAGAGCACATAAGCTAAGAGACACCTCTGCTTGCCCTAGGCTCTGTACCCTCGTTGATCTTTTCTACAAACATTTATTCAGGGCTGAGTGTTGACTTATTTTCAATGCTCATTGCAAACATCTTCTAATCACACTCATATTCAATCCTCACAATAGTAATACCACGTATACATTATGACAGAAAGTTTACTAGAATTTTAATAATAAGTAGATTCATTATATTTAATATGTTCAAATATCATATATGTTTGTATCATATATGTGTAAATATCTTACGTATACTCTATATATACTCATATGTTTTCCGTAAATATATATTCTTATAGAATATTCATGACCCTGGTGGCACAGTGATTAACAGCTAGGTTGATAAACGGTAGGTAGTTCAAATTCACCAGCAGCTCCTTGGAAACCCTATGGGGCAGTTCTGCTCTGTCCTTTAGGGTCGCTGAGTCGGAAACGACTTGACAGCAACGGGTTTTTTTCAAAGTATATATGGAGTCCTGGTGGTGCAGTGGTTAAAAGCTTAGGCTGCTAACCAAAAGGTCGGCAGTTGGAATCCACCAGCCACTCCTTGGAAACCCTATGAGGCAGTTCTTCTCTGTCCTATAGGGTAGCTATGAGTCAGAATCGACTCGACAGCAACAGGTTTTTTTAATAGTGTATATATAATATCTCATATATATTTGTATACCTACTTTATTATATTACATACAATATGTAATACACATATGTCAAATATGTTATATGTACCAAACATAATTATATGTACTATGCAAAAATATAATATAAATGTATGCATGTTTTAAACTATACATGTGTATATATATTTCCCACCACTTGTCTTTCAGTTTGTCATACTGTGGTGGCTTGCATGCTGCTGTGATGCTGGAAGCTATTCCACTGGTATTTCAAATATTAGCAGGGTAACCCATGTTGGACAATTTCAGTGGAGATTTCAGATTAAGACAGACTAGAAAGAAGGACCTGGTGATCTACTTCTAAAAAAAAATTGGCCAATGAAAACCTTATGGTTAGCAATGGAACACTGTCAGATAGAGTGCCAGAAGATGAGACCCTCAGGTTGGAAAGCACTCAAAAGACAACTGGGGAAGAGCTTCCTTTTCAAGTAGAGTCAACCTTAATGTCGTGGATGGAGTCAAGCTTTCTGGACCTTCACTTGCTGATGTGGCAAGACTCAAAATGAGAAGAAACAACTGCAAACATCCATTAGTAATTAGAACATGGAATGTGCAAAGTATGAATCAAGGAAAACTGGAAATTGTCCAAAATGAAAAGGAACACTTGAAGGTCAACATCCTAGGTGTTAATGAGCTAAAATGTCATGGTATTGGTCATTTTCAGTGGAAAAACCATACAGTCTCCTATGTCAGAAATAACAAATTGAAGAGGTAGGCATCACATTCATCTTCAAAAAGAACGTTTCAGATCTATGCGGAAGCACAGCTGTCAGTGATAGGATAATATCCATATGCTTACAAGTAAGACCAGTTAAAATGACTATTATTCAAATTTACACACAACCACTAATGCCAAAGATGAAGAAATTGAAGATTTTTACCAACTTCTGCAGTCTGAAATTGATCAAACATGCAATAAAGATGTATTACTAATTTCTGGTAATTGTAATATTAAAATTAATAGCACATGCAAGCAAAATTTTGCTGAAGACAATTAAAAAATGGTTGCAGCAGTACATCGACAGGAAACTACCAGAAATTAAACCTGGATTTAGTGGAGGATGTGGAACAAGGGATATCATTACTGATGTCAGATGGATCTTGCCTGCAAGCAGAGAATAACAGAAAGTAGTTTACCTGTGTTTTATTGACTATGCAAAGACATCGGACTGTGTGCATCATAATGAATTATGGATAACATTATGAAGAATGGGAATTTCAGAACACTTAATTGTGTGGAACCTGTCCATAGAACAAGAGGCAGTCGTTCAAACAGAACAAGGGGATACAACATGATGTAAAATCAGGAAAGATGTGTGATGAGGCTGTGTCTTTCCACCATACTTATTCAGTCTGAATGCTGAGCAAATAATCCAAGAAGCTGGAGTATATGAGGAAGAACGTGGCATGAGGACTGGGAGGAAGATTCACTAATTACCTGTGATATTCAGACAACATAACCTTGCCTGCTGAAAGTGAAGAAGACTTGAAACGCTTACTGATGAATATCAAAGACTACAGTCTTCAGTGTGGATTATACTTCAAAATAAAGAAAAAAAATCCTCACAACCAGAGCAATAAGCAATAAAATGATAAACTAAGAAAAGATTGAAGTTTTCAAAGATTTCGTTTTACTTCTATCCACGATCAACACCCATGGAAGTAGCAATCAAGAAATTGAACAATGTACTACATTGGGTAAATATGCTGCAAAACACCTCTTGAAAGTGTTAAAAAAGAAAGATGTCACTTTGAGGACAAAGGTGGAAGTGACCCAAGCCATAGTTTTTCAATTGCTTCCTATGCATGCAAAAGCTGAACAATGAAAGAGGAAGACTGAAGAAAAATTGATGTATTTGAATTACGGTGTTGGCAAAGAATATTGAATATATCATAGACTGCCAGAAGAACGAACAAGTCTGTCTTGGAAGAAGTACAGCCAGATGTTCCTTACAAGCAAGGGTGTTGAGATGTCATCTTAATTATTTTGGACATGTTATCAGGAGGGACCCATCTTTGGAAAAGGACATCATACTTGATAAAGTAGAAGTTCAGTGAAAAGAGGAAGACCCTCAATGAGATAGATTGACACGGTGTCATGGATTGAATTATGTCCCCCAAAAAATGTGTGTATCAATTTGGCTGGGCCGTGATTCCTGGTATTGTGTGATTTTCCTATATGTTGCAATCCTGCCTCTATGATGTTAATGAGGGAGGATAGGTGGCAGTTGTGTTAGTGAGGCAGGACTTAATCTACAAGAAGTGAACAGAGAGACATGGGGACCTCTTACCACCAAGAAAGCAGTGCCAGGAGCAGAGCGTGTCCTTTGGACCCGGGGTCCCTATGTGGAGAAGTTCTTAGTCTGGAGGAACATTGATGAAAAGGCAGACAGAGAGAGAAAGACTTCCCCTGAAACTGATGCCCTGAATTTGGACTTTTAGCCTACTTTACTGTGAAGAAATAAATTTCTCTTTGTTAAAGCCATCCACTTGTGGTATTTCTGTTGTAGCAGCACTAGATGACTAAGACAGAATTTGGTACCGAGAGTGGGGTGCTGCCCTAAGAGACACCTAAAATGTGGAAGCAGTTTTGAAACTGTGAATGAATAGAGCAGTGGCAGCAGCAAAGGACCAGCAGCAGCAGAGAACCTGCAACAGCAGAGAAGCAACAGTGGCAGAGAACCAACAGCAGCAGAACCAGGAGACCAGTGCGAGATGGTGCTGGAGCCAACCCACAGAGTGAGATAGCTGAATGCCTGTGTGCAGGAGGCTTCCTGGTGGAGCGGGGTGCCTCAGGACACTTACTGGTGAAGCTACCAAGCTTTGGAACACTTCCCCAGCAGGGCAGATGCAGGCTTGAGGCCCGAGGGCTGAGAGGCCACAGGAAACAGAAGCAGGAGCTGAAGAGACAAGGAACACAAGAAGCCAAGCTGCCTCAGTCTCAAAAGGTATGGCCATGACCTCTGGTGTTTCAAAGGGTACAGCCATGGCCTCTGGTGTTTCTAAGGATGAAGTCGCCACAACTATACACGTGGATCCACCAGATGAAAAACACAGGAATCAAATCAATTACATCTGTGGAAAGACACGGTAGAGAAAGAACTTCAATATCATCAGTGAAAATAAGGAAGGGGCAGACTGCAGAAGAGACCATTAATTGCTCATATACAAATTCAAGCTGAAGTTGAAGAAAATTAAAAGAAGTCCACAAGAGCCAGAATATGATCTTGAGTATCCCACTTGAATTTAGAGACCATCTCAAG